GCCTATACTTACCCAACGATATAATTGCGAGAAAAAGTATTGAAATATTTTTTTTATCCTCCCATCTCGTAGGCTATTTATTCCCTTAGGGTTTCCGTAGTACACTTAAATTCCTTTCCAAACATGGAACTGGGATGCGGCGGATTGCGGGAAAGGGGGTGGGTGGGGGGGATCACAATGTCAGCTTAACATCATGATGTCTGTCAGCCATCGGCGATGGACGATGGCATCGTCTGTCGGCCCAACCCTAAGGGCCACATCTGCGGTGTTCCAGATTTTAGGACCCTTTGGTGCTCCAGGAGATCAGCATCCTACAGTGCTTAATGTTCAAGACTGTTGAATCGGATTCCTGCTCCTTTCCCCACTGCATTGTTACTAGCACAACCAGTGGATGAAGTCACTGTCACAGGACTCCTCACTCAACCACAGAGAACGTAACTATCACTTATCCAAACCTCTTCCAGAGACCTTGGCATTGTTGTGTATTATCAGTATATGATTTTTCTAATTTGCATTAGATGTTATATAGCTGATTGCAGTTGATAACAAATAATCTTTCAGATATTTGTTTGATGCATAATAAGGTTCTTCACCTTATTTGTTTCAGAGTAGCAACAGTTTATCTTCCAGATAACGTAACTCTGACATAGCAACACCCAACATAATCACTTGCATTTTATGCATCTTATGCTCTTTATTCCTGTTTCATTTATGGTATTCATTTAGAAGTTGTTGATTACTCTTGTCTATCTTTTGTTAATAAAATCTATTTCATTACACTTGTGTCTTCCTTGGGTTGATGATACAGAAAGAGGTTCTACAAGTTAGAGATCCCACCAATCTTTCTTATGTGATGTACTCATAACCACACCTTAAGTGGCACGTGATTCAAATATCATAACGTCATTGGTGATGTTAGTACCCATCACTACACTATTTCGCCTCCCTAGGTTGGCGAAAGCAAAATTCACTACAGTGTATAAGATATAATAATATATTAAGATATTAATAATATATTAAAATATTAATAAAAAATATATAAATAGATACAGAGCTGCCACCTCTCACGGATTCAGCATGAGACAGTCATAATTCTGCCTTTATAACTAAATTATTCATTACATGAATGTCCCGAATAGATTCTTAAATCTGTTTTTAGCCTTCTTACTGATTTTTTTAGTTTTTGTGGATTTAACAGACATACAAGACAAACAATACTGTAAGCACTAATCTCCACGCCTACATGTGATGCGCCCCTGTGGAAAAAAGGCAGATGCTAAAGGTGTGGGATTTAGTTGTATTCTAGTGAATAAGCAATATTTGCAGTGTTCAGGTCAGCCGCTATAAAGCTATTGTCATTGTAGAGTTAGAAGCGGTGAATGCGGTTTACGGGTTTCATAGAAAGAGAATGATCAGAACAGAGCGATCAGCTTGAAATTATTTAATCGAATAAAGTTTAAATGCTTGAATTTGTTTCTTTTTATATTATACACCCCTGATATAGACAATCTCGTAGATTAATATGCAGTAGATTAACATTTAATTTTGATGGGTTTATGCTCTCTGTAGACAACAATTGTCGTCACGGTCATTTAATTTAATCAATTTGCTTTTTATTATATATTATATTATTAAGTTATGTCAAAGGTCAAATAAATTAGACACAGCACCTTAAAATTACAAGCTGCAACTGCATGATAACCACTTTTGTGTGTACAATGTACAGGTCAGGTACTGTATAAAGGATGTTTTTGCTCAGGTAGATGAACTGTCTGCCAAACAGAGAGGTTTTGCTAAGACAGAAAAACAAACAGAGGGAACATTACGTTAAAAAGTGAACTTTAAAATAATTTCAAATAAATGTGTTTTTTTTTGTTGTGTAAATTTGATGTCTATCAACAAATATTAATTTAGTCAAATTGATTTTGTTCCTTCTTTTTGCACTCTGTCTGGTTAAATCATGTTCTTGCTTTCTTTCTCTGTGTCTTTGAAGTATTGAGACAAATAACAAATAACAGTGACAAGACAAATTGTTTTCTGAAATGGAAATATGTGCATGACTTTTGATTCATAATATTTGCACATAATCAGCTCTTTAATCTCTCAATTTAACAGCACAAGCATTCTGTCAGCACCTGACACCGCCACTGACCCACATTAAAGTCCCACAGCAGTTTGTCCTGTGGCTTTCTCATAAAAGTGCCTGACGTTCTGACATGCTTTCTCATACTTTTGACACTGTGAAATTCACCTGCTAAATAGAAAATGTACATGTATCTGATGTTTTCAGGGTCTTCATTTTAGCCCCAGTCGTGAAAATTAACTTTTCGTTTTTTTTAAATTTGTTTTTCATTATCTACACTTCATCTAAGCGATATTATCAGTATATGATTTTTCTAATTTGCATTAGATGTTATATAGCTGATTGCAGTTGATAACAAATAATCTTTCAGATATTTGTTTGATGCATAATAAGGTTCTTCACCTTATTTGTTTCAGAGTAGCAACAGTTTATCTTCCAGATAACGTAACTCTGACATAGCAACACCCAACATAATCACTTGCATTTTATGCATCTTATGCACTTTATTCCTTTTTTGTTTATGGTATTCATTTAGAAGTTGTTGATTACTCTTGTCTATCTTTTGTTAACAAAATCTATTTTATTACACTTGTGTCTTCCTTGTGTTGATGATACAGAAAGAGGTTCTACAAGTTAGGGATCCCACCAATCTTTCTTATGGGATGTACTCATAACCACACCTTAAGTGATATGTGATCCAAATATCATAACGTCATTGGTGACGTGAGTACCCATCACTACACTATTTCGCCTCCCTAGGTTGGCGAAAGCAAATTCACTGCATAATCAACATACAGAATTTGTTTTGATTGTGTTAGTAATTGTTGGTAGCAAAAATAAAAATGAAAGACAAAAAGTGCCAGCAGGAGTACTGTAGTGCAATGGTTACACTGTTAGAGACTAAAACATATGAAATGTGTGGAGTCTCTGTGGATATTGACCAGTAATGTATGTGTGTGTGTGTACGAATGTGTAGTATGTAGCATTTTTAAATCAGCCAGCTGAGGAAACAAGCAGACAGCCAGGCTGCCAGTCTCGATTGCCGAGGGCAACAGGGGAAAAATGTCACTCATTGCAACCCTGCCGAACAAGGTACCAAGGGAAACCAAAGCAGGAGTAGGAAAAGGACTGAAGGGATGGAGCGACAGACAGACAGAGAGAAACATGGATCGAGAAAGAGAGGTGAAGGGCTAGGAAGTGAGAGAGAAAGCTGGGAAGCTGGTTATTAGAGAGGGATAGAGATCACTTCAGCCTGCAGGGCCTGAGGAGGAGAGGGGCGACAGAAACTCATCCATAAAAGGCTGCAGTCAGCAGGGAGACCAGCGGCATAACACTTATTATAGATCCTAATAAATGTACTCCCAATTTACTAGCAGCGCAGGTCACGTGAAACACAGAGAAGGAGGGAGAGAGAGAAAGGAACAAAAGGAAAAAGTGTGAAAAGAAAAAAAAGAGGAGGACAGACACAGTTGCACTGGGATTCCCTTTGGTGCTTGAGGCCAATATCTGATCTGGATTCTCAGTAACACAATAAACAGACAGTTTTTTATCCCGCCTCACCTTAATGAGATGAGCACAAAATGGGATCATATGAGGGTTTTTCTTACACGACTGACACATTTGGCCCTGTGGACTGTGAAATAAAATCCCTTAAAACACATTTTTTTACTCTCACTAGTTTAATTTGTCTAGCAACAATCTTCAGCCATGTATATACATGAACTGTCATTTTTGAAAGCCATTTTCTCCACAACTTAAATTGTGGGTTGTATTTAACAGCATTCTGTAGTAGAAATGATAAAAAATGTTTTGCATAATTTGATAAAAATACAGCTTAACTGAAATTGAAGCATAATAAAAAATATTTACCTTATTTTTCCACACATCATATGGTTCATGATTACGCTGGTACACTGCTGTTTCATGGTAAACAGTAAACTAAATTTTGATCATTCATATTTTGATTTCATATTTTAAGATTTAGTCTTTAAGTCTTTAGTCTTTTTTTTTTTAGTTTTGGTTTTCTTTTAGTTTTTAGGACATGTCTGGGAACAATAAAATGATATAAAAAAACAACAAAAAACATATATAAGGCATTAAAAAAGAAATGAAGTCATGGTTAAAAAAAAAGTTAAAATCATTTAATAAAAATCTACCCCTAGTACAATAAGTTGGATGTAGTGGAAGAAACATCCATGAATATTATTTCAGAGAAACAAAAGTCAAGAATATCTTGGCATCCAGAAATTAATGCTCACACATAAACCCATTCATCATGTACAAACCTTCTTTCTTCTCCTCAAGTATAGATTTGGCTTTGGTGTCAGTGACGTCTTTAAAAGAGGCAAGGAAGAGGACCACATCTCCCTTCTCATTCTTGATTGACACAATATCCAGCAGACACCAGAACACACTACCTGCAGTGGAATTGAGAGAGGCAAAATACATAAACACATACATATACAGACAGTAAGAGACATTCACACTGTAAAACATGACAATGAGCAAAGTCGCACTGAAGAGCTACTGCTACCTGAATTGACCCTGATGTCACTAAGGCCACTCCGGCTATTTGATAATGTCAACCAATCTCTTAACTTTTATAAAGAATATCTCTTTGGATTTGAGACTTTAGTCTTTGCAACTTTACAGATCTTCTTTATGCACCAAGAGCTTGTAACACTCCAAAGAGAAAGGAAAAAATGAAATTGCATCATATGACCCCTTTAAGCATTGTTTTAGCAAATATGCATCAAATCCTGATCCACTTCCCTGCCCTTTTTTAGTTGGATATACTGTGTCCTTAAATATGTTACATTATAGAAGTAAAATGGGTTGCAATTCACACTGGCTTTAAATAGAATTTCTGCACTGAATAAAACTAGTTAATTTAGTTGTAACCACAGGAAGCACATTTTTAGCTTACTTGGCAAAACATTACTTCCAGTCTATTTAAAGTGTTAAAAAACCTGAAACAAATTAAACCAGTACATCCAAAAAGAGCGGCACCATTATGGTATCCAATTCCCATGTAGGTGTGTGCGTGAATGCTTGTTTGTCTGTGAGTATTGAGCGGTGTGGGTGTATGTGTGCGACAGGGCATTTATATGTCTGTTTAGCTATGTGTGCGTCTGTGTGTGTGTGTGTGTGTTTCTCTCTCCACCAGTAGCTGTTACTGGAAGCCTCTAGGGGAATTCCGTCTGATTGCTCACAGCTGGAGAAGTCTTTGTCAAATCTCTCATTTCCTCACGAAAAAGCCTCACCATTATGGAGAAGAAAAAGGGGATGAAATAATAACGCTCTCTAGAACAAGTGTGCTGGAGATGTTCCATTCAATATAGAACAAAGGGGGAGAGGAGAATGAGCACGAGGAAAAGGTACAGGGAGGTGTTAAAACGCCACACCATCGTTTGAAGATGTAAGACCTTAGCAAACGAAATACAAATATTTGTAAAATATAATGTAATGTAATATAATAAAATATAATATAATGTATTACATATTGCAATGTATTATAATGAACAAGAGGAAAGCGGTACAACAAAGTGCTAAAACACCACAGCTTCGTTTGAAGATGTACGTGAATATAATATAATACACAGACATGTACTGCAGTCAGTGGTACCATAATGAATACCATATTTATAAACCATTGTGTGTACATATTACTTAAATGTACAGTACTTCATTGGACACCATGGTACCACTATGGTATCCACTCAAAAATAGTACTATGGTACTTTTTAGTTACTAATCCAGTGAAAGGAAAAGAACATTCATTTTGACTTATCTCAAATCTCAAAATTTACCATTTCAGAGAAAAATAAAGTGTGGAAGGGAGTGAGATATAACATATTAAGGAAAATTATTCTTAAAATTTGCATCTGAAGGGTTGAAAGTGTGGTGTATGCAGGGCCGGATTTACGCATAGGCATTCTAGGCATTCCTCCCTATCGTCCAGGGAGGGCCCAAACACAATGAAGGGATAAATAATATTTGTTATACTATGGGATATCTACAACAGTAAAAGAACCAAAACCTCAGAAGACATTGAGCAAATAAATATAACAAACAATAGGGTAAAAATGACAAACTATTTCCATGTCTTCAACCTTTTTTATGTACGGAAATCACGCTTTCTTTCTCCCGTTCTCTCTCACACACGCACACACATAGACACGCATTGTTATCAGCGCTGCCCTGCGAATTTATCAATAAAACAGTTTTGCAGCTGAAAAGCTACATGACATTTCTCAGTAGCAAGGTTCTTGAAGCAGTTCAACTTAAAGATTCGCTATTAGTAGACGCTGCTGCTGAATACTGCTGAGAGACGCACAGACGCAAGTATTCACACGCACTTAATCTCTCTCTCTCTCTTTCGCTCTCTCTCTCTAATAACTGCGTTAAACTGCATTAATAACTGCGTCAGCCTGCATATCAATGGCTCAAGTCTCTGTTATTAGCTCTAAAATGACGTTTTGGAATTTGCAACAGAAGGTTTGGGATGAGGTACGTAAAAAATTAGCTAGTTCAACACCCATGAGATTTCAGGACGGAAACATGTAAAATGTCTTGAAACAAATCTTCTGAACAATTGATGTGTGATTGTGACTCCAGGCCGTTAAAATTATTAGAGAAATAATGCACTCCCGAATTTGGTTATGTGGCCACGTCGACGCGCCTATTAATGGAATGAAATGCAATTTGTTTGAATTCTCAAACAAATTAAGAACCTACATTCGATTTTTATTGACTGAACGCAAGCGCTTATTGCGATAGAAAATACTGTAACGGTTTCCACTGATTAAGAAATATTTTTGTTTGCTTGGGTGGTAATATTAGGCCTATTATATTAATAGGGAAGGGGGGCCCAAACATTTATTTGCCTATGTCACGAAAAGAGGTAAATCCGGCCCTGGGTGTATGACATCCATTTCAATGTTGTCGTAAATTCCACAAATAAACTTGCACACCTGCTGGACTTTAGTTTGTATTCCGACTTTAGAGTCTCTCTGGTGCTTTTGGCCAACCAACTCTAATAAAACCATCTGCTTCTAACAATGGCTAGAGATTTAACTTTGTTAAGGTGTGCTGTAATATCTCCATGTGCTATTACTAGTGATGGATCACACAACTTTCCATGTATTATTACTGGTCTCCTTTTAATGGTGGAACTGCTGCTAATAGTTTTACAGGGATGGCAAAATTCCCAAGATCAATTATATGAAACTCAACCTGACACATCTAGCATTTGTCAAAATGCATTACATTGTGTGTTTTTACATGTACAACAAGCTTTGCAGCAACATCACCAAGGGCTTTTTTCTTCTCACCATTCTTTTTGTAGAACATGATCTCCTCCTTGAGCTCGCTACGTTCCTCAAGCGCAGAATCCACGTGAAGAATGATGTGCTCGCTGGTCTCCGGCCCATACAGAAACTTGCATGCGCAGCTCTGCTGCATGACCTCAGTTCGGGCAAATCCAGTAAGCTCACAGAATCCATCCGAGCAGTACACGATCGGGAAGCCTTTGGACACTTGTGCATTGGCCAGGATGAAGTTGCTGTCTGTTAGTAACACAACATCAAGCAAAAAATTTTAGCTTACTAATGTTTATTGTTACTGGTTATTCCTTATTAAATTTTAACCAGATGCTTTTAGTTTGCTGTTTTACTACAGGCCATGTTGGCATAAATTTCTTGTTACAGCATAGGGACAAATCAAGTGCAAAGATGCCCTGTTATGTTCACTAAACCACAGTTGTTTGTTATCTGTTCAGTTACACTCTTTTACAGTACCTTTAAATCTCTTGAAACAAAACTTGTGAAGTCTAAATCTTTTCAAGCAAGCTGAAGTTGATGTAGCTTGGTTGAATCATCAAAGCACAAACGACTGAACGCTTGAAATTGATGCTGAATATACAAGAATGCTGTAATGCTTCCATCCATCAATTTCCATACCCAAAAAAGTGCTTTGTAGACTACAAATAATCTAAAATACAGCGGCACAGGCACTTTTATGTTGAATATATACAGTTCATATCTGTGTGTGTGTGTGTAAAATCAAAAAATCAGAAATCTAATACATTGATTTAGTGCTCAAATAATTATTATCAATGTTGAAAACAGTTGTTTTGCTTATTATTTCAGGATTCTTTGATAAAACATTTTTTAATTTTTTTAAAAAGTTTACAGTTTTTGTAATTTACAATTGAACAATTGAGCTAAGTAAACTATTAGTATAAGTTTGTATAAGTTAGTTTGGTTTGGTTTAGTTTTAATGCTTGAACATGCTTTTCTTTTACCTAATTTAATTGGTTAATTCAGTTATGTTTTATGACTTCATTGGATCATATGTCTCTAAAACATTGTAAGTCACATGACCTTGCATGACATGTCTTAGACAGAAATCTTCAGCTGCTCTTCGTGTGAAAGGCTTTGTTTTTATTTCATTACATAACCAATTTCCTGCCTGGATAATTTTTTGGTATTCCGACTTGTTTTATTGTTTAACCCTGTCATTGTGTCAAAACAGATTAATAGCATCCATGCATTATAAATGAATACAACAACGCTGCCTTGTAAATGTTTCTCGAAGGACAGCCTTCGCGAGCCTCATCCCTGAATCCCCAGACTAACACGCACAAGCATTATTAAACACTGGCATTTATGAGAAGCGTTCACGTGGCGAGGAGACAGACATCTGGGACTGAACAACTTTACTGAGACTTGTTCTGCTCGCATAAGCAAAAGTAAAGTTAGGCACTCATTTATAATATCGTACGTGTTGGAGGGTCAGACCCAGAGAGATATGAGAAGAGGGACGATGAGAGAGAAATAATAGCAAAAAAAAAAAATCTAAATGGCAGTGAAAAGAAAGCTGCTGAGAGACAGAAAGAGAAAAGGTGAAAGAATACAGAGAAGTAAAGAAAAGAGAGTAACAATTCATAAGTGCTCTTTGGCTGACAAGCACCAGTTAGACAGCAGAATGAACTGTGAAACGTTCTTTATCGGCACCAAACAGTCATTGACCAAAAATGGTAATAATCAAGCACTAAATTAATGGGATTTTCTTAAAGGGCACATTCCCTTTAAAGACATTTACTCCACACAAAAATGAAATTCTGTCATCATTAACTCACCCACATGTTGTTCCAAATCTGTATGACTTTTCTTTCTTCTGTGGAGCACAAAAGAATATATTTTGAATAATGTTTTGGTTCCCTTTGTATGGACAAAAAATACAAGTCAATGGGAACTAAAAATGTCTTTGTGTTCAGCAGAATACAGAAAGTAATACAGATTTGGAACGATGTGGGTGAGTTAATGATCTTTGATCTCTAATGATCTCTAATAATCTTTAATTTTTGGGTGAATCCCTTTATGAGTGCATGTCAGGGAGTTGCTGTGCACATGTAACAATAGCAAAGACACACAAACTATTAATTGGACATAATTCTCTGAGATCTACAGAATCCCAGAGATTCCCCCTCTACTATTATGAACACTAAATTAAAGCAATATGCTTTTTGAACAGATTTCAGTTTTTGCATGCTGAATTAATAGTAGTCCAAATGCGTAATATTGCCCATTTAATTATAATATTGGCAATATAAAATTAAAATAATTACGGGCTTATCAATATTTTTAATAACAGAATTTCAATAACAGAATTAAACTGTGGATTTTTTTTTTTTATTGATCAAACCAACAATGTCAAAAAGTGATTAAAAAAAAAAGAACCTTCCCCATTTAAATTTTAGCAAATACATTATAAGCAGTTACATTTTATAACATCTCTCACTAAAAGTCTTTGTGAAGAAGTGTGACTGTTACCAGATTTAACAGGTGAAATTGTCAGGTTCTTTATTAAAACACTGTAACTCTTATGATCAGTTTCATGGGTTCGGCTCCTATCCTAGGAAGATAATGTAACACCTATTTAGTCTAATTCATAAGAGTGTGCACAAAACAGTGTTATTTTAGTATCAGTGAGCTACCATTATAGTTTTATTACAATATTGAATACATTTTTCAATTTTAATATTTACTTTAATTTTTTTTTGTCAATATGTCTCTATATAGCTTTAGTTATTTTAGTACATCAAGTTACTCTGAAAATGAGAAATGTTACCTTGGCAACTAGCTCAATTTTTTTTTTATTTTTTTTTATTTCAGTTCATATTTATATTATTTTAGGAAACAAAAATGTTTTTTTTTCTATGATTTTAATTTTAGTTAACTATAATAACCCTGGCTTAAAATAGAGGAATTTCCTTCTGATATCCTGCATAACCTATTATGTGTTCGCCCATCTGATGTGGCTTTGATTAAGCACTGTGACAGAATCAACAGAGCAAAAACATTCAAAAATAATGACTGAAAACAGCTGCTATGAATATTTTCACAATGACTGACACTGATGCATGCCGAAGTGGCCCTACTAGCCATACTTGTTCTGCAGTCTAAAGACGACAGCACATCCCAGAAGAGAAATCTCTCTATCTTACTGTTCATCTACTCACTCCCAGGTCATAACCTATCGGCCAGCAATACGACAACAGCTGAAAATACCTACTTGTTCATTCAAAACTGGAGCTGAGTGTTTGTCTATTTCTAAGCATATTTGTGTTTTATCTAAATATATGCATACAGTGTATATGTTTGCTGTGCAAAATGCATCCTTATCCTATCCTCAGACATGTTTTCATGTGTGCACCGTCACAGACAGCGTGTACAAGCAAAAAATATTATATATATA